CCCCAAAACCCCAAAACCCCAAAACCCCAAAACCCCGTTAAAGGCTTTTTTAGAGCATTAAATGAATTGAAATATTGAGATAAATTATCTAATTATCTCTTTAATCTCAATTAGGCATGATGTTATATTTAATTCAAAATAAAGGCATTAATATAAGAGAATTACAGTAACACATAAATGCAAATAGATTAGCACAAAACTTTCAGTCTCAGATAAAAGCTTATTAAGTCGATTAAGAAATTAGATGTATTTGGAATACCAGTCTCTCTAACTTATAAAAATGACCCATGCATAAAATCATTTGCTGGAGGCATGGCGACATTGATTATGAGATCAGCAGTCTTTATATATTTGCTATTTCAGATCATTGATGTAGTTTCGCGAAAAACAATTATCTAATCTTCATAATACAGACTAGATCTCTCTTGAGATTAATCGACATACAATTTGACTTAGGATATTTTCGACATGGCATTTAAAGTTGAATATAATTTACTGAATACAGAGCCAGAGGTTTAAAAGAATCTAGACCAATACGCATATATCTAACTAACTTAAAATAACTATTTTTGGGAAGATGTAAAAGGGAGATCAACTCAAATAAGAATAAGAAACAGATTAGAAACCGGAAAGTGCGAATATGGTAGATTAGGACTAACTCGAGATAGTATTGATTATCTCAACATCATTAAAACTTATGAATGCCCTTTGAATTTCAAATTTTAACTGTAGGGTAGCTATTCTGGATAAGCATCATGATAGATTTAAGTGGGGATATATGCTTGTAACTAGACATTTCTAGACATTACCTACAATAAAACAAAGAAATGCAAGAGTTAGTAAGAATAATATCGAGTAGGGGCAAATTTAAGACTATTCATTGTACTTTAGAACTCATTTATAGATATAAATGATTTCTCTGAAAATCCTATAAAAAATTCGCTTAAACCTTACTTTTTGACTCCTTCATATAACACTTCTCATTCTTATCTGTTCCTATTAAGTGAAAATGAAGTCAAATTGCAGGATTCTATGCTTTATGGCAACGAAGTAAGGAAAAAATATATTGAGACGAGACTAGATTACCTTAATGTCCAAGAAATTCAAGCTGAGGGAGGTTATTAATTTCCCTTCTTAGCTTTTACGTTGCAAAAGGATGATACAGTCAAAGTAGTAACTTGAAAAGCTTTTACTTTTCTTGATGCCTTATAAAATACTGGAGGATTTATGAGTGTCCTTTTTGTTATTACAATTAGTTTTATAGGTTTTATTTAGAAGACTGTTTACTTTACTTCTCTTGTTAAAAGTCTATACCTATACTAAAGTTAAGAAAAAACAAAAGGTAATATATAGAAATATTCTGAATCTCATCACCCTAAGAATAGTATACTTGGTGAAAATAATAAATAATCTACAAAAGAGGAGAATTTAGAGAATGAACATATTTAAAGTAAAATATCATTTATTTTAACCAATTTTAGATGGTTCAAATCAGCCAAAGAATATTTTAACGAGATTATAAAGAATAATGCAATAGTTGACTAGCAGATAAAAACTACATTATTCCTTGGTTGATGTATTTTAAGCTTGCCTTAAACGCAAGAGGTTAATGACAAGATTTAATACACATTAATACGCTCGAGAAAAACTTTATTAAAATGGAATTAAAAAGATTAGACAAGAGTTAGATATTAGACATATTGTTAAAGAGCTCAGAAATATTAGGTTTATCTAAAAAGTTCTTCTGGACAAATACCAAAGGTCGATGATAAAGTATTTTAAGGGCAATCTCCTTAATGAAGCACCTGATTTGAATAATAAATTTACTTAAGATAATGTCATGATTTATCTGAAACAGATTTTGTCTAAAGAAAAATAAAACTCATTTGATAAAAGATTAATGAAATCTATAGAAATATCTTAACAAGAAAATAATCAGTTCTAAGAGGTGTTTATGATAGATCATTCTTAAAAATACTAAAATAAGATAAATGAAAGTCTGATAAGAAAAAAATCTAATATTCCAGTAAAAAAAATTAGTCCTTCACCATTAGAGCTTAAAAAAAATAAATTAAGAAAATTGGGTTCTAATATTTCTCAAAATTCATCATAAATTTCAATTATTTAAGATAACTAGTGCAGTCTTAATTAGAGTCAGATTCATCTCACTAATGAACCTATGAGAAAGAGAACTGATTAAGATCTCCAGAATAGTTTGCAAATATCAGAAATTAGTGAGTACTTTAATACAAACTACGATAACTATGCTTAATAAATGGAAAGCTTTGATAATTAAAGTTATTTGTAGCTTAGCAAAATATAAAATGATAAAGAGAATTTATGAATTAAAGAAAATATTATTTAGCAAATAAGGATATTATTTTTTTATTTCTCAAGATTTTTACTGTAAAATTCATCAAGGGGTTTTGGGGTTTTGGGGAGATCGG